AGACGTGTACCACCACATCCCAGCCTCTCTTGGTTCTTAATGATACATATTTTCCTGAGTGTGAACATTCTTTTGTAAGCCTTTTGGTCATTTGCAGTCAACTTCTATGAATTTTCTGTTGTCCGCCCATTTTTTTAGTGGGTTGTTTTCCTCCTAGCTATTTCTTAGGGCAATTTTTTTTGTTTCTCCTGTGTGGATTTCTATTTTTGCTCTGTTGCAGTGTGGAGGATGGAATCCAGGACCTTCTGCACAGTGGGCAGTCATTCTACCACTGAGCCACACCCCGGCTCTAACCCTTTTTGCTTCATGTGGAAATATTTCCCCCTAATCTGTTATTTTGAGTTTATTTATAGTGTCATTTGTTATAGAGAAAAGTTTGTTTTTTGCATAGTCAGATTTGTCAAGTATGGTAATATTTTAAGGAAAAGAAATTTATTTTTAAAGCACACATTTTAATTTAGATAGTAATTTCAACACAAAGGCTGATTTTGCTTATTTGCCATATGTTTTACTATTCTAGGTAACGTGAAAAATAGAAAATAACAGGGCAAGTGAGACATCCAGCTTGTTTGCACGGCGTTGTTTCGGACGACTCCCCTGTCGGAGGAGGAAGACAAGGACGATGAGGATGATGACGGTGAAGGGACCCTCTCCGTGCCTGTGCTGTGCTACGCTCTTCACACACTTGATCTCCTTCAACCCCACAGCAGCCTTTGGGGGCAGGGACTTTTTATTTTTTAACTGAAGTACAATTCACAGGTCACAAATCCACTCATTATTGTGATTCTCACTTCTTGCCCTCTGGGAGCAAATCCAACCTTGTGCAAGTGCTTGACCTCTGAGCTACATTCCCAGACCAAACGTACTCTTTTTTTTTTTTTTGTCTTTTTGAGACAGGGTCTCGATATGCAGTTCAGGCTGGCCTTGAGCTCACTTTGTAGCCCAGGCTGGTCTTGAACTCACAATGATCCTCCTGCCTCAGCCTCCCGAGTGCTGGGATTACAGGCGTGCACCACTGCACCTGGCCAAACGTACTCTTTGAAAGGCACACTTACTGCTATTGAAATTGCAAATATCTTGTTGTCCCCCAAAGAAAGCCTTGTGCTGCATGTGGTCCTCAGCTTCATTTCACAGATGAGGAAACTAAGGTTCAGAGATGCAAAGAAACCTCACAGCCAGGTGTGGATTTGAACCTAAGCCCCATTGCCTGGGGTGGCAGCCTTCTCAGTGAGGTTCATTATTCTGCACAAGGGACCAGTACATTTCTTCTATAAAGGGCCTTAATGGTAAAGATTTTAGGCTTTGTGGGTCATTCAATGGATAAATGAGTTGTTTGTTTGTTTGTATTTTGTTTGCACTAGGATTGAACTCAGAAGGGCTGCACCACTGAGCTACAGTCCAATGCTTTTTTTAATTTTTATTTTTCATTGTGAAACAGTCTCACTGTCACTAAGTTACCGAAACTACCCTTGAATTTGTGATCTTTCCGCCTCAGCCTCCCAAGTAAAATTAAGTAAAATTAAAAATAATTTTTTTCTAAACATTAAATTTAGGGTATAACAAAAACAACTCTACTGAGGAAGTGGGTCAGAATTCTAGGGACAGGGGGCGGGTGAGTAGAAAATCTCTTTAAGTGTTGGATTCAGGCTGACTGAATGGAATTCAAGGTCGGGGACACCAGACACGTACAGCACGGGCAGTGAGACACCCTTCGTCTGAACACATAAGGCACACAGTAGGGCCTTTAGAAGGTGTTTTTTTTTTTTTTGTCTTTTTGAGACAGGGTCTGGCTATGTAATTCAGGCTGGCCTTGAGCTCACTTTGTAGCCCAGGCTGATCTCGAACTTGCAGTGATCCTCCTGCCTCAGCCTCCTGAGTGCTGGGGTTATAGGCGTGCACCACCACACCCAGCTAGAAGGTGTAT